TGTATTGAGTTGTATCAAACTAAATAGCTTACTAAATTTTCAACTAAAAGTGAGACCAGCTCATTAGGTACATAACTCCCCATGTATTGATTGATCAAAACTGCTTTACCATCTGAACTCATAGACAATTTTCAAGATTACAATGCTTCATTAACAAACACACCTTTCATTTATGGTCTCTGGTGAGGATTTTCAAATGAGTAGACGCTTCAATCATTGATTATGCACAAAGAGACCAGTTAGAAGGGACTCTCTCCTGGCCCATCTCTCTCATGTCTTTCAAATTCATTGTGTGTGTAATCCATACTGACCATCTTATCATATTTAAGTCTTCAATATCCCTCATCATAACTGAGGTATCTGGATACCAATGATCACTTTTGTTCTGATCTGAATATACCTAACAGAACAGAAGCCATACCATAAATTATTATAACGGAAATAATATTACTCACTTCATTTCAATTTGTCTGTTTGGTTTTGACTTGGTATATGGAGTTTTAGGAAGTTAAGAATACTTTTGAATCTTATGGTCTTAAGCATTGTGATGTGGAAAGTTGATGTTAAAAGGTTGCAAAAGGAAAGAGACGTTTTTTTTAGACAAACTCAAAAGGAAAGTAAGACAAAGAAATTGAAACGGAGGAGTAACTGGTTTCTTTCTTATGCTGAGAAGCAAATCAAAAGGGGGTGTTTTGTTCCGTCTATTTCATATTATGCACATTGACATCGAGAGGGAGCATACGATACTCAATATCTAGCTCTCTGGATATCTTAACCATTTCCTCAACTAAGAGGGCTCTCCCTGCCCAACTCTCTCTCATGTCTTTCAAATTCATTGTGTGTGTAATCCATACTGACCATCTTATCCTATTTAAGTCTTCAATATCCCTCATCACAGCTGAGGTATCTAGATACCAATGATCACTTTCGTTCTAATCTGAATATACCTAACAAAACAGAAGCCATACCATAAATTATTATAACGGAAAGAATATTACTCACTTCGTTTCAATTTGTTTGTTTGGTTTTGACTTGGTATATGGAGTTTTAGGAAGTTAAGAATACTTTTGAATCTTATGGTCTTAAGCATTGTGATGTGGAAAGTTTATGTTAAAAGGCTGCAAAAAGGAAAGATATGTTTTTTTAGACGAACTCAAAAGAAAAGTAAGACAAAGAAATTGAAACGAAGGAGTAACTGGTTTCTTGCTTATGTTGAGAAGCAAGTCAAAAGGGGGTGTTTTGTTCCGTCTATTTTACCAACAGTAATAATTCCAAAAAAAAAGTCAGGATAGGTGATTTGTGTGTAGAGAGACTACTAAGATGAGTGTATTCTTATTGTGAGCATCATGAAAGAGCAAGTCAACCACTATAACGCAAGAGATCCGTAAAGGAAACAACTGAAATTTATCAATGGAAGATGAATAGTTGTATATACCTTGTTATTTTTTCTTTCATCAATGCTATTTTTTCCATAAGAGGTGAGATATACATGCAGAATTCGATTGCATCTCAGGACTGTGATAGTAGTTACTTATGGGTTGTGTAGATAAGACACTGTTGGAATATATGATCTTCAAGATATCATATTTTAGGAGTACCGTTGTCAATGTATTCATCTCTTCTACAATCAGCTGAAACCCAAGAATCAGAAAAGGTCCTTTAATATACAAAGTCGAATGGTATCTAAAGATCTATATTAGAGTGGATGAATTCTTACATGAACTCTGTCTATTTCAACACAATGCCCTACATCAAATGGGTGCATCACAAATAAGAATATTATTGCCTTGAATGCTGTCTTGGCAGTGTTTCCAAACATGAATATGAACAGAAGAACCTGAGAGCTCATAAAGACTAGGAAATGTGTAGTGTCAACATTGAGTATAAGAAGACAGACGACCAGTATGATAACCCATACTAAGATGTTCAACAAGTGATGCAGTTTGTTCACAATAGTCTTTGTGTATCAGTCGCCATGTGGCCTGAATCTCGATGAGTGCAGGTACCTGGGGAGATGAGTGCAACAATGTTAACTCCAAGGGTAAATCCATATTAGTACCATTGATGATGGTAGCGTATGGTAATAGTCTGCAATAATTGGCAGTAATTTGATGCATAAAAAACGTTATCCGTAAGATGCACCGTGCGGGTAACCTAAAGCTAGCAGTAACATATATATTTATATATTATAAAGACAGTTTTTATAATTGCCAGGGAACTGCAGGGAAGCAGAAGAACCAATAATAGTCCATATAATTGTTGCCTCAAGGGGATGTAACAAAGTCGATTAGTGCCCTGTACATTCTAGTTTGTATGGTATTTTTCTTCTGGACTGTGAAGCAGAGTTGGTGTGATTGTGATGCATACAAGAGGGTAGCAGTAAGATGTAAAGGTCAGAAGTAACACATATATGGGAAACTTGTAATTACAAATGGCAGGGGGTTGTGATTCACCGAAACTAAAACAAATCAAGTCTAGAAATAGGAATATATGTTATAGTAAATAGTATTGCTTATTTAAGTGAAGATTTGAATAATAAGCTTAGCAAAAAATAATATTGCAGATTCTTTTGTGAATGTTCAACGTGGATCGTCATATATATCTCTTATTTACGCAAACCTATGAAGATGGTCAATGAAAAATTTTATTAGTTAAATGTAATAATGTATATGTTTATTTCAATTTGATGAGGTTCAATCATGCAATTAAATCTTATCTCATTAATATTACCTTATAGACAATATTTGCTTTGTATTTTTTTTGTCATCTAACAAGATGTGCTTTGCATATGTATTCCACTTTATATTGTACAGATGTCATATGAACATGTGAAGAGAACATCTACATTTTATATATTCACATATTTTCACATTTGTTGCGAGTTTTTTTTATAAAAAAAAACTCGGAATATTTTAAAATAATATATTTTAAAGTTAGAAGATTTTGCTAACTTGATAATACATTTGGGACATATATAATACTTTAATTTAAATACAAATACCTACCCAAATATAAATATATATTTGCATTAATGAAAATAACTATCTCATAAAATTAACTATTAAATAAACAATAAAAATTAAACTAATACAAATTCAACTGACGTTATTACAATTAATATGAATTTTTCTTCGTCTAAAATGCTGAAATATTAAGAAATAGTAAATAAGTAAAATAAAAGGGCAATGTTTATATAGTAATGACTATTTTGAAGCAAACTTCATGAGAATCTAAATCACATAAGTAACATTGATAAATAAAGTCATTCTTTTGTTTTGAGCATCAAAAACAAACCGTGACAATTATCTAAATTTTGGAAAAGAATTCAGAAGCATATATCTACATCACAAGAGAAATTGATAACAAAAACAAATGAATTTAGACTACAAATGAATTTAGAATTACTTCTCAAAATAGTGGTACCTCATATTCCGCTAAACTTCGAACTCCCTCAACGACCATAAATCACACAAAAAGTTTTGAAATGCAAGAAGAAGAAAAGTAGAAGATTGAAAAAATTGTGGTTGAAAAATGAGAGGAAGCCCCTCTATTTATAGTCAACAAAGGGTAGTATGAACAAATGTTTTTTGTGTCTTATTTGGAAAGTCATTAACTTTTCGAGAAGTCACAATCCTTTGGAAAAGTCACAACTTATTGAAAAAGTCACAACTCTTTGGAAAAGTCACAATTTATTGAAAAAGTCACAACTCTTTGGAAAAGTCACAACTCATCGAAAAATCACAACCCTTCGAAAAAAGTCACAACAACCCTTCGAAAAAAGTCACAACTTATCGAAAAAGTCACAACTCATCGTAAAAGTCACAACCTAAGTTAGGGATATTATAGTAATTTAACATTCAAATTAGGAGTTCATGCTTTTAAGGTAATATAGATATAGATATATAATTCTAAACAAAAGATAAATATTTTGTTAAATTTTAATCAACTTAAGTCTTTAACTTTACCATTTTTCAAGCTCAATGCTTAAATTTTAGCCCAACTATTACAACCCTAAGTCCAAGTCCATCAAAACCTATTACTTTAGTCTTTACCTACTCTACCTCACATAAGATAGTCATACTTTCTCTTAATTGAATCATTTTGTTCGTGTAATAATAACTCTAGAATTGCTTAATTGCTCAATTAAACTCACAGTTGCTAGTAGCTTTCATTGTTCATGTACTAGGTGTCTGTGTCTATCGAGATACGTATGTCCTTACAAAATTTATTACTTTGAAATTGAAAAAATCAGAAAAATCGAACCAAACCGAAAATAACCAAATCGATGGCTTTTTTATTTTTCATTTGATTTGGTTTGGTTTTAGAAATTTAAAAACCGACTAAATTGGTTTAGTTTTGGTTTTAACCAATAACCGATTCAAATCGAACCACGAACTCCCATAGGGATAGGGGTGAGGATGGGGACTATTTGGGTGAATTGAAGATGAAGTGTGTTAGAGGATTAGGAGGACAAAATTAATGTAGAATGCTACTTGTAAAACTTGTTTTTCCTATTTTTACTAGGGGGCATCATTATTTTTTCCTAACTTGTCATAGAGAAACGTATTTTCAAAATTTTTTGACCAATCAAACATGAAACATATTTCTCCATATAGAACACACCCCAGATCTTTTCTTTTAGTCGCAGAAGGAGGATTAAGATAGAGAAAAGTGTGGTCGGGTACGTGGTAGGGGTGAAGATGTTATATGTATCTAGGGAGACTATTGGCAATGAATACTTCTTAGTTTTCCTTTAGAAATAAGATTGAACTATAAACAACCACAAGGCTTTGATAGAGTGATAAGAGAACATCGCGTGCCGTGTGATTTAGACATATCATGGCATCATATACCACACTATAGATAAAAGTCAAATATTTAAGAGGAGAAGAATAGAGGTATGGACTGGTCTTTCATCCAAGTTTCCAACCCGTTCTTCAATGAGACTCAGAGATTTCTAGATTATAAAAAAGAAGAAAGAAGATTGAAATCTATACAACTTGGACTTAATATGTTGTGGTTTGAATGTCAACATAATGAAACATGTCACAACTTGTTGAGAAAAGCAAATGTGCAAGGCCTAGGCCCAAAATTTTAGTACTTGTTGAAATATAGAGCTGCATTAGATGTTTACAAAGCTCTACAACGAATTTGGTACAAAACTGAAACCCTCCCAAAACACAAAGGAAAATATATCTTAGACAATCTAACGATTTCCCCCCATCAAATGAACTGAAAGAGGGTACATCAGTTTCAGTTTCTTGGAGTAAACCATATAAAAAACATAACAAGAATGATGGTGGAGGCTGTGAATGATTTCATAATGAGTAACCTCCATGCTCCATGTTAGAATGCGCGGTGAAGAAATTGAAGTCATGGTGACTATAAGAAAGTTGTTTCAGCCATGAACCTACAGCATTTTGAAGATCATATAGTTTTTCATAGTCCTTTTGTGTATGAGTGTTTAGCCATACATCATTTTGCATCTTGTATGCAGCTAAACCGAATGGACTAAGACGAATTCCATCCTCACCCTTCCTTTCTCCATCAGGTTTCTCTTCTGCAACATCTGAAAACAAAAGGCACATCACTCAGTCAAGTAGGATAGAGTAATACCGAAAAATTCTTACATTGTCAGTGTATAACTTAAATCAAATATAGCGAGTTTAAAATACATACCTTGGAAAGTTGATGACAATGTATGGTAGGTAAGAAAGCTTGCAGAAACATTTTTAGTAATTCCTTTCATTGGAACATGATAGATTGGATACCTAATAATATGATGTAAAGCAAATAACTTAGTAATTCCTTTCATTGGAACATGGTAGATTGTTTCCCCATGGGAATACCTCATAGTTTTTAACCAAAGTTTCAGGCCATGCTGAGGTGCCACTTTAAGGGCATCCCAACGTCTGAATAGAATTCCAAGATTAACCTTAACCATATATTTTGAAAAGAAAGAGTAGTTTATCGAGAAAACAAATCATTTACCAGTATAGAAAAGAATGGCCCCAAATAAGGTAGAATGGATATAGGAGACTCATAAAGCTGATCCTAACTAGTCCAATATCTAGGCATAATTGATTGTTAGAAATAATTTGAGAAGGATAACAGATTTGTGGCTCTGACATAGCACGACTTTTCCTCTTCCAGAAGTATACCAATTTGTGGAGTTCCTCTCAAATGACATATCCCATGAGCTACAAATCAAAATCACCTCACACTGTAATCTTCATTTTTCAAGTTATTAAAAATTATGCAAGAATGTTAGGAACTTCAGTGTGACCCTCTTCCAATGGTCAAAGCAACAGCTCCCCTAAACTTGCACCTCAGCCTGGTGGTATTACCCAAAAAGAAGCAATTTATTTTCCTCCATCATTGATAGTGTTCTCTCGTCTTTGGAATGTAACAGTGCCTTCAGTCCTGTGATCTGAATTGCCTCTTCTATTGGCATAAATAGAAACATTACTGTTAGATCCTTCTACTGCTTCCTTCAGAAGGACTATCAAGCGACTGCACCCAACTGCTGCCAGAATATTTCTTTATCCCGTTTACTTTCATAGCCGATCTTAGGCTGTTCGCATCGCTGCAATAACCAAAAGATAAGACAAACTAGATGCAAGTACATAGTTTGATCCAAGATCAGGCCCTATTTTGAGGAGAATCTCCCTTATATTTTCTTCTGCGCAAGGACTATGACCATGATGCTTACAAGCACTAATGAAACTCCTCAATATCACAGAATTAGGCTCTGTAGGCATGCTCCTGATAATATCATAAGCTTCTTCTAATTTCCAGCACGTCCAAACATATCCACCATGCATCTGTAATGTTCCATAGTTGGCCTGATGTTATAAATACTTGTCATTTTTTCAAAATATTCACGGCCCGCATCAACAAAGCCAATATGACTACAAGCATATAAAATTGCAGAAAATGATAAGCTATCCGGCCTAAAGCCAGATTCTTCCATTCTGGCAACAAGGACACAGCGTCTTCTACATGTCCATGATCAGCAGGACCAGAAATCATGATGGTCCAGGTTTGCAGATTTTTATCATCCATTGAATTGAATATGTAGAAAGCCTGTTGTATATGACCACATTTTGCATACATGCCCAGGAGGGCTGTTTCCAGCTCAACATGTAGTTCAATACCACTGGTAACAATGTGCGAGTGAATATATTTACCTAATCTGATATTCAGGATATGAGTACATGCCCCCAACAAGCTAACCAAAGTGACAGAATTTGCCTTTTCATTTGCTAGCTTCACACATTGGAACAAGAGCAGAGCATCTGAAGGCAAGTTACTGAGATATCCAGGAAAACATTGACTATTATGACTTTGAAAAGCCACACAAAAAGCAAAAACCTCACAGTAAAAGTTAAACAGGAAAAGAAAGCATGAAAGACAATTATTTTAGTAGACCTCCTACACAAAAAGAGAGGTCAAGGTAGCAAATACCAAAAAGGGATGAAAAGTGAACATAAAAGCCCATTAAACTGGTCCCTCTATATGATCAGGTACAAACTATTCAACTTCTTCTACGTCTATATAAGAATTGATTCATTATATGAAAAAAATGAGCATATCACATGTAGTGGAACTTGGCCTAAGAAATTTATAGAATTCACTTAGGTGACATCCTGAATCACACTTCTATGATATCAAATGAAATTGAATAAGACGGGAAAGTATTGACAAAACGGTTGGAGACCCCTGCAGGAAGAACAAGTAGAATTATTGTCATTACTTCAACTATGAGGAGCAATATCCAAATGTTCAGAGACTTCATCAGGAGAAAGAGTCAAGCCTGCTTATATTATCTCTATTGTCTCCCTATTCCCTATTTATAAATGCAAAACCCCTTATACTCTCCCTTGGGAAAGACAAACTAACCATAGTATCATTATAAAGTCGTCGTCTTTTCAATGTTTAATTCAAAGTTTATCTCAAAAGAAACATAATTATAGGATTTCTCTTTCTTTTGTCTAAATTGCAGATAGAATTTGACATGGGAATCCATCCATATGATATCCGGACAACTAAACAGCAGCAATGTTAGACTATTAGACTAAGTTATTGTCCATAATCCACCTTAGCTTGTTAGTTTTAGAATACTCACGACCATTGGAGCCATGAACTAGCTTCCTTTCCAAAAGTTTTGTAGGTAAAAAGTCCAAAGATTGGTTTGCAAAAATTGGGTTTCAAAGCTTAGTGTTTTTATTGGACATGAATGTACATAGAGATTCCAGAATTGAAAATAAAAAATCTAACATGCTCTGATGTATGCAAAAGTAAACAAATACAGCAGTGAGACCAGCATACCTAAATACAAAAGGCTGGGAGTGTTGCTCACATCCCAACCACGAAAGGTTTCCTTCTTTGTTAATTCCCCATTTTAAAGAGTGTCATCGGGACCTTTCCGAGATAAATACCTAAATCTAAACCATGAAATTTTTCTCCATTTTTACTTCCTTATTTTTCAGGAGTACATGCTCCTTTCCAATTTAAAAGAAAAAATTCCAACCCCAAAAATTTCCATCATTATTAGTCCCTGATCATTTAGGAGTGTATGCAGCTTTCACAATTTTAAAGGCTCATTGATCCTTTCAGATATGAACCCTAGGCATCGTTTAATAATCTACTGCAGTATTCCAGCAAGAAGGAAAAAGATAAAACGTTAGACTAGTGAACAAGTTTGGAACTCCTTATTCAAGCTAAAATATATCCAAGTAATATTAATACTGGTTTCTTCTTATGGTACAAAACAAGTATTCACAATCGACATTTGGGATGAATTTTAAAAAGTTCACTAAGAGTATTAGATCACAGATATCTGCTCAAGAGAACCACAAATACCATGGGACCAAATTTCTGAAGCATAACGAACAAGGTTACAAGCTAGCATTGTTCATAAAAATTGTGACCTATTATGTGTCAGACCTATCAAAACACGTTTAACTTACAAATTCCTCACAAAACCATACTTGAACTCGTTTCTACAAAGTAGTAAACTTGTCATGCTCAAAATCTACTTACAGTTTGGTAATTCTATTCATTCCCATTATAATAATCATCTTAAACAACTTCCACATAATGCTATAGAATCTCTCAGCCTTCGCACACTTGCCGGGTTCACAAATCATAAATAATGTACTGATTCCAGAGTAATCAGTAGATACATGAAATATCTTTTAGAAGGAGAAAGAAAAATAAACTGTAAATAATAAGACAACAATTACTACTATCATGCTTGAATCACAAGTAGTTAAAATCGGCTATATGATCCTTAATACATAGATTGTGATAATTGGGGTGTGAAATTCGTATAAAAGTTAATATGTGTTTTTGACAAATAACTGAAACAAATATACATACCAATGAACGTAAGCAGCCATCATTGAACTCTAAGAAACTATATCCCTCTCAAGCATTTCATCAAGCACCTGTCTTGCAAACCTGATCACACCAATCCAACATACATTCTCAAAATGGTATTGTTCACATGTAAATCTGAACCAAAACCCGACTTCACAGCCATGGAATGCAACGATCCACCCGTTCCAATCATCAAACAATGCCCAGAAACCTTAAGCACAACAGCGAATGTGAATTTATCTGGTTTTAATCCAATTTTTTGAAACTGTTCAAAGAGCTTCAGAGACTGTACTTGGGAATATGCTCTCATCATTGTGTTCCATGCGAAGATTGATTGAATTATGTGAGAATTATCAAAAATTGTACGGGTGAATTAGAGGGATATTGAAGAAGATAATGATATGAACTGGGAGAGATGATAGTGGTCGTGATGAATACCAATTTGTGGCTCTGACAGAGCACAACTTTTCCTCTTCCAGAAGTATACCAATTTGTGGAGTTCCTCTCAAATGTCATATCCCAACTGATCTGATACATTTGTCATTATTTTTTTTGTATCTTCTTCCTAATTATGTTCTTCATTTTTACTACTAATAGTTGTTACTTCAATTACTTTATTTATTTTGCTGATTATGTTTCTTTGATCATAACAGCGATTAAAAACTGCTGACCCAGGTTGGAAATATGGGAAAAGAACAAGTGAGACCAATAGGGTAGCACTTGAGTGTAACTTTTATAAAAAAGTTACTAATGGTGGAATCTTTCGTCGCAAACAACACCTGATTGATACTTGCAAGGACGTCACACGGTGTGAACAATGCCTGAATGCTGTCAAGGAAGAAATGAAAAAATATGTTGATGAAAAGAAGGAACAAAAACATCAGGCTTTACTTCAATCGGATGTGACTAATATTGGTGATATATTGTTGGTTTGGGTCCCAAGGCTTTTGGTTTGACTTTGAGCCATTAGACAAAATGCGGAGAAAGTTAAGGCTGAAGTTTTATTTTAGTCAACGTTGAAGTTTAAAAGGTCATTTTTGAGTTTTGATGATTCCATTAGATCTGAATTGTGATATTTGGTCTAGTTGAAGGCTTGGTTCAGTTCCCAAAACTTTTGGATGAGTTTCATGTCATTATTTGGAAATTTGGAGATTCTTAGGTTAAAGTAAAATTTGGTCAACATCGGGTTATGATCTAGTTTGAGTGTTTTGATGAATTCATTGAGTCCGAAATATCATTTCCAAGATAGAAGCACATTTGGTTTGTGTTCGGGAGGTTCTAGATGAGTTTTGGGTGAGTATGAAGCTTTTTGGGTGCTTTGCCGTTGTTTCAACAATTTGTGTCTACTAAAAGATTCGTTATTAGTTTTAAAGATCAAAAAA